TAAATTCTGTCTCTGTCACTTAGATTGATTAAATGCGAAACATATGCGATATCACAGTATTTGCTAATCATTTATGTACCTCAGTTAATTTTGCGCACCCAGAAAATTTTTGCTGTGGTTGCAATACCACTTTTTTGAGTGACATATATCGCACATCCCAAATAATCATCCACACAAATTTTTGTGTTAATTTAATATAATATGGGCAAACTTCATAGTAATCTGAAAGAAATTTTGTGTAAAATCAACATATTTCTAATAATAAAATTATCTTGGAAAAATGTTATTGACAGTCTGTAGTCACTCTCATTCCTATTGTAGAATAAAATCAATATCCTTTCCGGAAAATTTAACAGAATAATTTTAACAGATAAATCCTGTCACTAATAATACGGAACATATCTATTGTGTAAAATTAAAAATATGTGCACATTGTGTTATTTTTACGCTTTCTTCAGTTATTTTAATAATTTAACACATTTGAGTTTAATTAACACAACAGCAATATGTTAAATTAATACATAAATGTATTAAATATTTAACACAAAAATTTTAACCGGCATATTTTTTTTAAAAGAAAACATAAATTTTCCAACAGTGTACAAATCAATATTATTTTGAACAGAATAAAAAATTAATACAAAATTAAAATTAATGTCACGCATTTTGTATTCTAAAAAAATTATGTAGAATTAAATAGAATTATATAAAATTATGTAACAAATAAAAATGCATGTAATCAATCATGGATATTTTATATTATCTTAGATAAACAATTAAACAAATCTCGCGTCTTGAAATTATAACCTCAAGCGGACGAACGCTCGGAAGAGATAATCGGGAGCTTACGGTATATCTCGAATACGAATTTTGACACGAGGCACAGAGAAGACATATGGGAGAAGAGACCTGAGGAGAACGCGCGCGGAAGCGTGGGAACGGGCGCTCTTAAGCCTTCTCAAAACAAAGCACGAGCTAGCTACACGTGATGTAAGTGGGGAGCACGCGACGCACCTGACTACCGCCGACGCCCCCGCGCAGCTCCACGTGCTCGCATCCGCCCGCACCGCTATCGTCTCTATCCGTGCTCTGCCCCTCCCCCTCTCCCCCCGTCTCGTATCGTAGTGGCCGCTGACGGTTTATTAAGTCGTTACCCAGTGTCGAGTACGTCCTCGCGCGCGCAAGCATATTTCGCGTAGGTAGCAACGTCGCTTGAATGGAATTAGAGGATAAATCGGATAGATCTTCCTTAACTCGTAATAATATACGCATGTCGAATTACGATAGACAATATATAACAATTATTATAATTATTATTTTTTTTTTTTAAATCGGACACTTGTCACAAATATGTATACGAAATGTATGATGTTACAAAATTTTTTAAAGTTAAAACAATATATTCAGAAATCAGTATTAATTCTTGCAAATTAAAAAATTTTTCAAAGAAATGGAAATAAAAAAATATAGATAATAATTATTTTATTAGAGACAGATTGCCCGCGAGTAATCGCTAAATACGAGAATCGAGTGGCACGCGCAGTAGTTAAATATACGGTAATGTCGAAATTACACTGTCGCAGTAAGGCGACGTTGAATGGTGCCCGTGTATCGAGAACGACCTTGAATAATCGTACGAGACTGCCTCTATATTCGAGCCTACGGTCGTGATAAATGACACGCTAATTATGCACACGTGCGGAGGACACATTGTAATCATTTCGCAATCGTCACGCGCAAAGTTCACGAGGCAGACAAGCACCGGATATCTAATCATGCGAATAGCTCGTGCATGAATCAAAGATGCGAGGAAATTAACATTACCTTGCTTATTGATGGTTACTAATTATTATATTTCACATTTTACGTATTATATGCACGTACGAAATAACATCCACGAGTTCTGTCACACAGATTAGCAATTTTTAAAATATTTTTAAAACATTTTTGTATTTTAAAAATATTTTTGTATTTTTAAAATATTTTTCCCTGCCTATAAATTCAAGATTTCTTGTTCTTAATCAAATCAAAATATAATTGCGCGATTATTTTTCATTAATTAAAAACGATATAATTAGAAATTGAAGAAAAGTATTTTTAGAAATACTTTTCTTAATACATAAATATGCTAAATTGAAATATTTTTAGAAATTGTTTTACATATTCTGTATTTCAACCTACGGTTGTGATAAATGATATGCTAATTATGCACACGTGCGGAATGTATATTGTAATTGTATGTTATTTGCATAAAAAAACCATTAAAGTAAAGTATATATATATAGAACGATGACGGCATATCTTAAATCAAATGGAACGATGTACTTATATCACAAATGAGATGTTGCTAAATAACGCATAATTTCTCATCGTTGAACGAGAGAGTACACCGAACTAATTTCTGAACCCTGCTTCCACGAAGTAACTATTCATTAGGAATCCATCCGTCGAATCAATTTGATCAAGTGACAAAGCGCAATCTATGGGTGATTTAATGATTCACTTGAAGCAATTTCAGAACTTTTGTTCGTTTATTCGAGATGGGCCAAAGTGCTTCACGCAGGATTCAAGGAATCGATGTAAAATTATCGTTCTAGACACGGTTCGCGCTTCTTTTCTGGATTAAACAAAATCTCGGACGAAACGCATAGACAAAGAGCTCTAGCCTTGTTAAATGGACGGCGATAAAAACATAACTACCTGTCCCGTACTCTAGTGGCAGCGGTCTCCTTGAGATCTGTCCTCACGTAGAGAGAGAAGACGGGGTCCTTAGCCTTACGCGTCGTGTCGGCGTTGTATTGGTTACATAACGCACACACAGTCACTCGCATGAATGAATACATTCATAAAGACCCGGCCCGGCTTGGCGCGCACGTCACATACATATGTGCATACACACACACACAACGTACAACGCGCGCGCGAGTAAGGCTGCAATCTCAATAAGAAAATATGTCTATTATGTTGTTACAATAACGATATCAATTCATTGACCGTCGTGGCTCTGTGAACGCAGTCTATTGTCTCCAAACGACGTTGGGGTATCCCATGTACTCTGGGTGCACCAGAGTAAATCGCCCTCGAATAATTTCGTCCCTAAAATCTGAAGCTCGGAAGAAAATCTGCGAGATCGATACATTAAATTGTTATATTTATTATTAATTATTATTAATGTTTCTTGCTTCTTTTCTGGAAAAATTTAACGACAAACAAATAACAAATTTCACAAAAAAAATAACGTTATTAATAATTTCACAATTATTTTTTATTAGATTTACAAATTAGTGTATATTTAATATAAAATCGTTTACATTATCTATATCCTTTTAGCTATATTCACGTACAAAATGTAGAGCCGAGACTATTTTGAGACATTAATCATCGTCTGGTAAAGATGACGATAACTGTTCTTTAACGAGACGAAAAATCTAAACGAATCAAATGTTCTGCCTTGTGTCTTTGCTTCTGAAGACAATTGGTATGGTCATTCTCTATCACGGATCGTACTTCCTCCAGACAAAACTGATATATGACGTTTTAAGTGACGGAGTACCCAACCAGTAATTGAATTTAAAGGGCGGAAGCGAAGAAATCTGGTCCCCTTTCGTATTAACCTAATCAAGCGCAGTTGTCGGTACCGCCGACTGTCGCGGCCACAATAGAGACATTAAATTGTCAGTACGGATTTATTAAACCCAGCGTGCGGTTGCAACCGTAAAATCCTTTACATCTCGAATGGTTCACTTCATTATTATATCCGATAACCCGATGTCTAAAAGATATCGTGCATTTCGTCAAAATAGCACATTCTAATTTTCTTAATTTTTATTAGAAGCTCTTGATTCTTATTCTCGTGTGTGTGTGTGTGTATGTGTGCGGTTATTTATAAATAAACTAAAAACCTGTGAATTTTCACAAAGCGTACGATCGAACTTAATGAATCAACGGAGAAATACACTTCCTTCCTGTGTATTATCGAAGCAGGTGCTTGGCAGCCTCGCCGTGCTCTTGTTGCCGAAAATTATGCACGCCCGCTACATTAGCAAAGAGACTCTTGCGCATCGGCAGCTTTGACTTTTTATCATCGCCACCGCCAGCGGTCAGCCGTCATACGAGTTGCCATTAGGCGTTCGATAATTTCGATATACGCGAACATCTCGGCGTTCTCGGTACGATGACTTGTCCACAATTTACCACGACCGGTGCAAGCGTCCCCTTTCTTTGGGGCTGTCATGCCGATACTCACTCGTTCCTTATCACTGAATTTAAAACAAGTTTTTACCAATACTGTGCTTTTTGTATACTGTGCGCATGATTTTGGAGAAGTTAAAGGGACCGAAATAATGAGTTTGAGGCAATTTGTGGCTAATATATATATATATATAAACACGGAAATCGAAGATAATTATAAGAAATTATAAGATTTTTATTAATGTGACTATATAATGGATGAAAAATCAATTTCGCGAAAAGCGTGATTTATGAACGTCTCTAATAACAATTTTTTGCATTAAGACAATCATTGAAATATGCATGCATATAGATATGTAATTTTTTCACTTACTTGTTTATGCGCTTGAATCTGTTTATAAAATCTAATGTCCTCTATAAAGTATTTGCATCAAGTTGCACTAAAAAGAAATTTTATATTTAATGTAATGTTAAAATTAACAATGAATTTAACGTTAGATTTTAAATAAAGTTACTTTTTAAAGTTATATTTTTACATATTATTCTTTTGTGTATATATGACTTATATCTTTGAAATAATTATTCTTTTGTAAATCTATATATCTAATTCTATAGTATATATATATTGTATATATAATTTAAACAAGTAATTATATTATATAAAATAAAAATTATTAATTATTGCAATAAACTCTATTTCAAATAAGATTATAAAACCAAATCTATATTATTAATGGGCAAAACAAGAATTAATAACGGATAAGAGAAAAAGGATCAATCATATCGCAGCATTAGTAATCCCGCGCGTATAGTGAAAAATTGTTTATTAAAGACAAAATCTCATACAATAAAATAAATTCGCACAACCGTGGGAAAAGGCACATAATGAACTTGGGTTCTTAAAGAACCACGGACGTGGAAATGGTACGTTTACCCGTATATAAGTGCGCACACATAGCGTACAAGACGAAAAGATTCGATTCAAACATCGATTTCAAATGACCTTGCAGCTTGGCGTTTCTTTGATGTCGGTATTATCGATGTAAACACGACGTCCGGAAGGAAGGTTACTATTTAAAAGTTCACTTGCTCCAAGTGATACTTGGTCTTGCATAACTTTTGTAACCGGGAAATACCTTCGTCCCGATTATCACCGTATTTGGCCTCCCACGCGTCGAACAACATATTATAGTATCTCGGAACCTCAAAGTACTGCAAGTACTGGTGACTGGTAGTAGTAGGAAAGATCTTCTCGAATCTACCTAATTGTGTCAGTTCGTCCTCGTAAGTAATCAAGTGTCTGACATCGTCGGGCGTGAGATCCTCGATTATTTCGTCAAGGTAGTCTTCGCGATTTTTCAGGTTCGCGTATAACGATTGCTTGTGCCGTTCTTGGTAGCTAAGTGTAGTTCGGTGCAGTCTATAATCTTGGCACACCAGATCTAACTGGTATCTTTGGGCTAGTTTCTCCGCTTCCTCAGACGGTATGCTCGTAGGCAATTGGTATCCGGCTATATTAAAGACGTTTCTAATAAGAGGCCCCTTGACGGCAGTGTCGAGCGGCGAGGAAGACTGTAGAGAGGGCGATATATTCACCTCGAGTAACCACGGTTTCCGATTCTCATCCAAGAGAATATCGATGCCGAAAAGCTCATAGCAACAATACCTTGGGATTTAATAAAGTAAAATATATATTAATTTAAACATATATTATTAATTAAATATATATTATAAAAAAACATTTATGAAGTAAAGGAAAAATATATAATTAATGTAAAAAAGTTGTTAAAAAGCGCGAAAATATTCTACATCAACTTTAAAACTTTATAAAATTATATAAACAAAATATTGTTATTTAATTATTAGTATTTCAATTTTTGCATTATTTAAATTTTAAAAATATTAAAAATATCAATATTAAAACATAAAAATGCATTAAAAAATAGTATTCAATTAGAAAAAATAGTAATCTCTATTTCATCAAAAGATATAAGTTGCTTTTCTCACCTCGAAGTTGTATTGGTTCTCGTTAGAGTGTTGATAGGAGACTCGCCTGCTATCACCGTCTTGATGACTATGTCCTTTATCGACGCCCATATCTTGGTGATATTCACGTTCTCCTGCTCGAGATAGGACCATAGAGTTCTTAGAGTCCACTTATGACCGGTGCTGGAGTCCGCGCAGTCGTTGCTAGTGTAGGTCGCACTGGTCTTGTTAATGCTATAGTTGGTGAGATGCATGAAACGATCGCTGAGGTAGTTGATGTCGTCATTGTATTTGACGGAGGCGAAGCGCGCGAGGCCGTCCGGATAGATGTAGATCTTGAGCGGATTGAAGCTGGTGACGAGCACGTAGAGACGCAGGTCGAACTTGGCGCCGCGTATCAGCAACGGTCGCGACAGATATTGTTGCACGACGACGGCGCGTTTCTTTGGTATCTGCGACCAGCGGTGGACCACGCGAATCCCGGTGCCGCGAGCGGAGGCCGGTGGCTTGATGATCCACTTCTCCTTGCCACCGTTCTTCTCCCACACTTGGCGGAAGAGACGCAGATCCTGAGGTAGCACGTAGGTGCGCGGCACGAAGCCGAACTCCCGCTTGCCGTACTTCATCATCATCCGGCTGAGATTGCGCGACAATCGATCCTTCCGGCCGATCTGGAAGGTCCCGGGAAAGTGGTTGACCTTCTGCGACTGCTTCAAACTTTTATAGCAGACGGACTTCATGTGCTTGCCCCAGGTGCCGCACCAGTTCTGGCATTTCTTCATCAACCGATAACCGGAGTTCACGACGGTGCGACGCACTATTATCGGTGTTATTGTGCTGAGGTGCCACTTCAAGTGCCGCGTCACTTCGTACGGCAGTACCGGGCCGGTCTTGCATTCGAACGACTGAAAGATGATGTAGGGTGCCACGTTGTCGAACAAGCTCCTACGAAAGGGCAGTTTGTTCCCTTTGTCACCGTCGATCGACAGCAGATCTCCGTCGACATCAAGATCAGGCACACTCTCCTCGTCGTATTGAGTCTCGGCGCCATCGGTGCTGCTCCCGATGCTACTGGTTTCGTGCTGATTGTACGCGATTACGTCCATCTCGGATTAGCCTGCAGCATACGGGAAAAAAGATCGTCGTGGTGCGTGACAGCTTGATCTCAACGATTCGATTCCAATTTTGTATCTTGTATAATATATATACCTACAACTCTTGAAAAATATTGCGTTCAATAACGGCAGTAGAAAAATGACTTATATAACTTGTACGTCAATTCACGCTATCGCTATTATAAATTTATACTTTATTAGAAACGTTTCTAAACATTAAATCAACAACAAATGCCGTAAAAATATAGTGCAGGTTAATACAGAATACCGCTGTTGAACATTTTCGAAGAGCAGAACTGACAGCGTCAATCGGGATAAAACCAAACATCTGTCACGGCCTGTCAAAAAGTTTGGCTCAACTCGACGTGTAATGTAATATACGATATAATTAACACGCTTTAGGGATTATTATAAATCGATATATTAGTAAGATTTTTTCAAAAATAATTATTAATTATAAAATATCACTATTTTCTCCGGAGCTGATTAATTACGAGATGTGACACCTTCCCCTGAGGTTATAATTATAAAGTACCAAACTGACCGATACTTTGTATATGTTATGGATATCTTTAGCGGGATTCAGTAACTTGTTATCGATAGTTTTCGGTATCGTTAACTGGCCACAGCCAATGGCAAGGACAATTCTGGCGAAAAGCGCAATTCTCATAGGCTATCGCTTGCTAACGACAACGATAACCGTCGTTAAGATGTTTAGAGAATCCTGCTACTTGTCGTATATATATATATTATATGTCGTATATATTATACAGCTGTAAATTATTAGTAACGCGAAACGAGCAGCTGCAGATAATCGATTTACTTATCGTGGGAAATAGATTAACACGTACAAGCCGATTAAAATTCAATTTCGTCGGCAGCTTCATCAGAGACCAAACGAATTTCTCACAGAGATATTTTCTCTCGAAGCATAAATTACATTCTATTTTTTTTAATAAATTGTTTTTTATAAAATAAAAGTTTACTTCAATTTTTTATTCCAGAAAAATTATATAATCCTTTCAATGCATAGCGTTCGATAAAAAGTCGCATGGTAAGGAGAAACACAATACACGTCAAAATACGATAAGAATTGTAAACGACCTGCGGTAACAGAATCGAATATTGCAAAGCGATAAAATATTATTACATCGCTAAGCAATTTTTACTCAGTAACGCGAATACGACAGAAACTGATCCGATTGGAATGATGATACCACGTAGGCGCGTCAACATACGCATATGTCAGAAAACTTGATTATAAATGCGCGAGATTAAAAGAGGGAAATTTGCAAAAGGAAAAGTATACGTACCAATTCGTATTGTTTAAATGTTAACAGTTGTTAGCATTATGATGATGCGGCTACAAGCATCTGAAACAAACAAATTGATTCGCAAATTATTGTAATTGTCGAGAGATCATATTATATGTACTACATATGTATATTTCTTCCGATATTTTCTGTACATATTGATAATGGCAATTAACGTTTCTTTGTGTTATAAAAAAAATAATAATCTTGTGATAAAACACAGTCTTTCTGAAATAATTAATAAATAGAAGAATAATTAAGAAATAATTTCTGATGTAATTGTAAAATGGCGACGATTAAGTATATTACCGTAAAGAAATAATCGTTTACACCATAACAATGATTTTATTTCGATCGACTATTACGAGTAACTTATATGAGAGTTAATTCGAGAACTATTTTCGTTTATGAATTTTGTGCGGCGGATTAATTGACTTAATCTTGCGCTTTTTTTCACTCTCGTGCAGAATGTTACGTTTAAAATAAAATTATAAATATTTATATGTAAAAAAATTCGACACATCTATGCTATATTAATATATTCTATAATTTCTTTATTTTATATTTACGATGTCATCACTAAGTTGAGAAAAATAAAAAAGTACCGCGCAAAAACAAATAAAATACATAAAATAATAATACTTACAATACACCACTCTCGACAATCGTAAAATTCCTAACGTGTAACAAAATATTTAACTTTGTAACGGAATTTGTTTCAATTTTTATTCAGATCCTTCTCAGCCAATAGCTGATTAGTGACTGGTAAAGATCCCAGCTAATTTCATTATAGAAAAAATTAGCTTTATGTTTACTAAAAGCAATGTATTGTAAATATTATCAAACATCAGTGTTTGAAGTGTTTATACCCCGACTTGTAAAGCTTATTTAAATATCGCAAAAATATTTGAAAATAACTGGCCTTTTTAGTCAATTAATTCCTTTAATATCCTTTTTTGACATACTTTATTTCTTTACTGCATTTTCATTGTAAAAAAATATCTTTATCGAGTATTTGAACAGCGATTTGTTACAATTTAAATGTTCGCGAGTCAACGACCGGATCGTATATCCTGATAATTGCGAGTGCAATCTCTCGCACGCGAGTAGAGTGCGCGCCTGTCAATCGTACATTGCGCTTGAATGAGAAGCTGATACGATGGGTTTAGTTCCGTTCGCATGCGATTGAGTTTTTAACGCGCGATCGCATTTCCAAAGGGATAGAAACTAGGGATAAGAACTAAAACAAAAAAGAAAGGCAAACTCACTTGCTACATAATTTACGGCCTTATTTTAATAACAACATTGCGCGTTTTACTGTGAACTAACGTTTTCTTGAAATTTATAATCTGTCGCAATTTTCTAGTTATTTCCATAACAACCCGCGAGAAGCTAGTTTTCATTATTAATAACAAAAATATCGTCTTGCAAAATGATAATTCTTTAAATTCCTCAAAATAAAATTATTAACTGCAAGATTATAAGAAATATAGAAATGCAAGAAATAGAAAAATATCTATTCTACTGCAATAAATATCAGTTTATTTTGTAATGATTAACAGCTATAAAACTAAAATTATATTATATATCACATTTTTCTTAATATTAATTTATTATATTAATTATTATAATGTATACATATATTTGTGAGAATATATAGAGAACACAATATGCGCAGAACCATATACGATAATTGATACGAGAATGCCGAAGCAGACGTGTAAGCACGCGGTGCTGATATAAAAAGTTCGTGTTGTCGATTAATTCGCCTCTTCGAAACGCGTGTTAAGTAAATATGCCAGCCACAATGTGCCAATTAAATACTCGTTATCGATCGCGGAGTCGGTAGAATACGAGAGTGCATTAATCGAAAAGTAAGACGGGACCTGCCGAGAAGAAAGAGTTAATTTTCTTTCGTGTCCCACTTGTATAAAATCAAATTAACGCGCAATGCTCCAAGAATACAACCAAAAACAGGAAGACTCGAAAAAGTGTGAAAGCGTCGCGCCCATCGATCGATGGAATTGATGAATGACTTTGGAGAAATTTTTTCATTTATTACAAATTCCTTCTCTCTTTAAATCATAATCGTATCGTCGATAAAAAAGGACTATTCAGTTAATTCCGATTAGCGTGCTAATCGACGTGTCGGAGAAATCGATTTTAGGTAAAAAATTTAGTAGATCATTTGACCGATTGGCGTGAGAGAATGCTAGAGTAAAATTATATCTTCTCGTACTAAGTGTACGAAACAGACATTGTGTTCCTGACGCCTGTGGAGAATGAGAGAAATTGATTAAATTGTGTCTTAACGTTGAGATGTGCAAGAAAGTTCAGCTCGTGTATTAAGTCACGTAGGATGCATTAATATTCATGTGTCAGTTTCGTCACCTCCGGGCATGCTACCCGAACGGCGATGGCAGGTGACAGGTGGTTTTCGATTTCTTACAATGTCGCACCGTGCGATTATTAAAGGCCGCCAGTCAAACATTGTAGTCTTTTGCATGCGCCGAAGGTGACTTGTTATAGCGTTCTTCTCGTCGCCGTGCTATGTAATTTGAATGCGATTTAATCTTTTTGTAGCCGTCGCGATTCTCGTGATTTTTTCGTCAGTGAATATATATTCATAGACTATAATAATATTATATTTATGTGTGATTGAGTATATATAGATGTAAATGTTATAAAAATATAATAAATCTGCGTGTAAGAAAGATTTTTTCATATATTTTATTAATCATTTGCAATTTTGTAATCAAACTTTGCATATACAAGAAATATATATGGCGTAGAAATTTCAAGACCATATGTTGCGTGTATTGTGTGATATACTTTTACCTATGTTATTTAAAATAAAAGTGTAAGAGAGAGAAATCTTTTTTAAAATCAATTGCAATTTTTTTATCCACAAATTTTAACCCCAATATTTTTGCCGATTCTATTTTTTAATCGTAAAAATATAATAGATACTATATTCAATCCCATAATTATTATTACTTTCAAAATTTATTAATTGAATGCAAAATGTAACAAATGTATTTAAATTGAGCAAAATTTACTACTAATAATTTCTATAAATGTATTGCAAAATGCTTCCAAGATTAATAAATAAATAAATAAATAATTGAAATAAAATAAATTAGTTTTTATCGTACTTATTAATCTTTTTATTACAAAGATTGCAAAGATTTATTATTGTAGTAGCTCATCTAAAATTTTCGCTGCGTATGCAGACATTGAAATTATTCATCTCGCTCTCATTAAATCATTAAATAAACTTTAATAATATTTTTTACTTGAATTACAATATATATAATTTGTATAAATATATATTGATTTACGTGATATATGAAAAATTATATATGTTAAAATAAAATAATATTTTGCTGAGTGTCTTATAGCGGTATTGTTTTGATATGGATTCGTCATTGCGAGAAGATTAATAAAGGACAGAAGGATACATAAATATGTGATTGTGGTGATTATTTCAACATTATTTATCATTGAAACAAGACGTTTATTAATGATCGGGCTGCAACAGAGATGCCAAACGTCATTACGTCGAAAAAAGAGATTCTTAAACATAACAAGTTAACATCTATACAATAGTCGCTATGCTCTTTATGAGAAAATAGTCATCTCAGGTACAAAATGGAACCCTATCACAGACTTCACTTAAAGCTGTATCACCTATGTACAATGCGATAGATTAAACCCCATTGCGAAGTTAATATAAAATTCTCGATATTTTCAACGAGATTAAAAATGTCTATGTTTGGAAGACAGTATTTCGTCGTTTTCCTCCTTGCGTTGGCGGGAGGGAAGCTCCTCATCGCGAGAATCGTCCGTCTCCGGATGTCTCGGAACATGTTCCCATCATCGCTGGTCCTCATCACCAGGGTCTCCAGACTGCGTTTGAGGACTCGGAGGATTCCCCGGAAGAGCTCGCGACACTGACAGGACTCTGAGGAGGAGTGTACACGTTCTGGGGCACGCTTGTCTGGCTGGCCTGGGTCGTCTTCGTCGCCGATGTCGCCGCCGTAGCGAGCACGTGCTTGGTGCCGGCCGGGCCCTCGAGTCGTCGAAGGCAACCGCCGAGGTGTCGCATAAGCTGGGCACCGGCGGCAGGATGCACCGCCGCGGCGACCGGCGTCGACAGGAACGTCGACACTTCCTGGGCGCACTGGGTGAAACCGTCGCGGAATCGATCGGCGTAGCTGTTCTCCGGAGTGAGCGTGAGCCTCCTGGCGGCGCGTAACGTGTGAAGATGACGTACCGTGAGCTCGAGGATGTCCGCCTTCTCCAGCTTCGCCACGTTCTCGCCCTCGGCCTGCAAGGCGGTCACCATCAGATCCTTCAGCTCGTCCAGGCAGCGATTGATGCGGGCGCGTCGCTTGCGCTCCAGCATCGGCTTCATCACCTTGCGGTACTGATAGGTGCGCGACACTGGCTCCTCGTATTCCATACCGCTGACAGGTGTGTAACTCGTATGCGGTGACATGATGATCACACTCTCGGCGTATCAGTCGTACTTATCACTGGTCACAAAACAAGGGATAACTCAGTCCCAGTGAGAGATCGAGTCTTTCGCGTCTTACACGTCTTCGAAACGTTGCGCGATGATGCTGGATCACCGATCGACGATCCGATCAAGCCTCAGGGTAATCCGCGATGCTCCACGGATGTGCCCGTTGCGAAATCTCAAGCGAATGAAACTCTCCTAACTCTCGAATATGCGCCCGCTGTTCTCGGAGTGCCGAGAATGCGTCTGAGCCCGTACGTGTTCGTGAGGGTTCTGAGTCGCTGGTGGGGCACAACCCGTTATTTATATACCGCGCGCGGTTCCCCACCAGCGCCACGATCGTCCTACGCTCTACGGCCGAATGGCGGAGGGGTCCGAGGGGCACGGTGCTGAACCCTGCAGCCCGCGTGCACAGCCAGCCAGCAGCCGTGGCGTATCGTGGGAAGCTCGCGAGCCGGAGCGTTCCCACAGATCGGGGGGCCTGCACAGGTTCTGTGCCGTTTGACGCCTGCCGACCGGGAAAAGAGAGAGAGAGAGGGAGGGGGGGGGCCCTCCTTGCGAGTTGAGAGCGCGCGCGCGCGCGCGGAAGGGGACACCTCACTCACCGAGGGCACACCTGCATACTGCCCTGGACGACGAGCCCTGGCGCGCGGAGAGCGAGAGGCGAGAGGAAGAGGAAAGCACACGCCACGACGCGCGACCAGCACGAGGACGACTCGCGCGGCAGAGCGGCGCGAGGACGATCGCGCCGGAGGTAGAGATTATCGTGAATGAATCTACGAGGAGAGGTACGACCGCCGCGCGAAAACTAGATTGAAGCGCGTAAAGAGAGAAAGGAAATTTCTCCTGATATTTTAGATTATTTTCAGACGTTACGTCATATTGTTTACTGATCTTGCAATTTTTTAAATTGCCGATTTTTTGTTGTAAAGATAAGTTGAATAAATTATACACACGCGGATAAGGCAAATTTCATGTGTAATAAAAATAATCAATTTTCTCTCTTCAAAAATCACACATGCAAACTGAGAGATGCACGATTTGGTCTTTTGTGTATATAACTTGATTAAAAATTAAAATATAAAATAATAATGTAGTTGATATAAAAAATATAGGAAACTAAGTACTACGGTAGGTTTGCGCATCCGCGCTCGAGGCACGACACTTGTTGATTTACCGAGTTACCACCGACGTGGTGCACGTGCACGCGCGTGTCGACAACAGTCGTCCCGCTAGAGTGAATCACATCTTGCCGTGTTGCGACTGAACCAATTCGCATCTTTCTTTTCGCGTAAAAACAATAGAAATAAATATCACGAACGGTGCGAACCTTCGCCCTCTCTCATACTCTTATGTCATTGTAATTATTCAATAAGATTATTTATTAGTATCTTCTGTTGCGTTGGATTATATGAATTGCAATGTTGAAGAACTTTTTATTTGATATATAAGAAATTTATAAATAAAAGATTGTGTTGATTAATAATTCTCTCCTATAAAAATATAGAGAATAAAATAACGGATTAAGTGAAGGACAATTTTGGTTATAAATAAATTTTGGCTATAAATACTATTCGATTCTGCGATATATGCGCGAGGAATGAAAATTCAGCTCTTCATCCATATTCACTATTTCTTCATCCATATTTACTATTTCTGCGACGGAAGAGCATTTCGATATTCTCTCCATATATATTCAGTTCCCAGAATAAATTCGAATACAATTAACCTATGATCTCTTCCTACTTAAAAGATTTGCATACCTCGAGAGAATTTTGCATATTCTGTTTGAGATTAGTCCAATATTAGAGATATCTCTCCTCCTGATATTTTAGATTATTTTCAGACGTTACGTCATATTGTTTACTGATCTTGCAATTTTTTAAATTGCCAATTTTTTGTTGTAAAGATAAGTTGAATAAATTATACACACGCGGATAAGGCAAATTTCATGTGTAATAAAAATAATCAATTTTCTCTCTTCAAAAATCACACATGCAAACTGAGAGATGCACGATTTGGTCTTTTGTGTATATAACTTGATTAAAAATTAAAATATAAAATAATAATGTAGTTGATATAAAAAATATAGGAAACTAAGTACTACGGTAGGTTTGCGCATCCGCGCTCGAGGCACGACACTTGTTGATTTACCGAGTTACCACCGACGTGGTGCACGTGCACGCGCGTGTCGACAACAGTCGTCCCGCTAGAGTGAATCACATCTTGCCGTGTTGCGACTGAACCAATTCGCATCTTTCTTTTCGCGTAAAAACAATAGAAATAAATATCACGAACGGTGCGAACCTTCGCCCTCTCTCATACTCTTATGTCATTGTAATTATTCAATAAGATTATTTATTAGTATCTTCTGTTGCGTTGGATTATATGAATTGCAATGTTGAAGAACTTTTTATTTGATATATAAGAAATTTATAAATAAAAGATTGTGTTGATTAATAATTCTCTCCTATAAAAATATAGAGAATAAAATAACGGATTAAGTGAAGGATAATTTTGGTTATAAATAAATTTTGGCTATAAATACTATTCGATTCTGCGATATATGCGCGAGGAATGAAAATTCAGCTCTTCATCCATATTCACTATTTCTTCATCCATATTTACTATTTCTGCGACGGAAGAGCATTTCGATATTCTCTCCATATATATTCAGTTCCCAGAATAAATTCGAATACAATTAACCTATGATCTCTTCCTACTTAAAAGATTTGCATACCTCGAGAGAATTTTGCATATTCTGTTTGAGATTAGTCCAATATTAGAGATATCTCTCTCTCTCTCTCTCTCTCTCTCCTAAAGGATTTCCGACAACCGGTTCCGGTGCAATCGAGTGGGCCCGGGAGCCGATGTTTTGAATTATAAACGTACAATCTTAATGATCTACCTATTCTCGGACCCGTCCAGGCTTCTCTTGCGGGACTTAACGAGGTGTTCAGTCCTTTTGGAAGCCGATACCCCAAACAAGGCCCCGAGTGGGCCGGCCGAGTATTTATGAGCCTTCGGGCCTAAACGCAAAAGCAGCTAGTCGGTTCAGAGGCGATTCGGGATATTGCTACAACGTGTCGCCTTCGTTAAAAAAAAAAAATCCACTCCCCCGGACATACGGTCGCCGCTTAATTGCTGATCTGTCCGAGATTACAACAGCTACGGCAATTGATACCAGTGGAATTCTGTCGGATAAACAATCTTTAAGAGGACAATCAAAAATATTCTCGATTGAGAGAGACTCGCCTTTGTAAGCCGGAATCCCCGTGAAGAAGATAAGTCTGTCCTAGAGTACGTTTTATCTAAAGTCTCCGTATAAGAAGATAGCGAGTATAGAGATAATATTTTAGGATCATTCTCGTCGCGCAGTAACACACACAGTACACAAAACTGCACGAAATATTAATAATATAAATATAATTTTTTAAATATTCTAAATATTATAATTCTATGCGAATCTTTAAATAAAATTATCACTCTTCTTATATGTTTCAGAACGTTCCCGATATAGTATATAGGGTGATTTTAGATAAGTGCGACAAATTTTAGGAGATGATTCTTTGTCGAAAAGTAAGGAAGCTCTTTCATATAAATATATACTCGGAGTTAAAAATTAGGTTTTTATTTTTTTGTTCTCAAAGTTTGGACAAGTTAAAAAAATAAAATGATGGATATCTGGCTTTTTTTATTCTAAAATTCAATTTCTCGTAATTCAAAACCTATGCCATTTAGTACCGTGCTGTGCATGACAATTAATTTTATTTTATTTTTTTTTAAATTATTGATTTTATGAAAAAAAAATAAAAGAAATAAGAAAGTTTCTAAACGAATCAAGATTTCTAATTATTTTTAGATGATCATATTCCGACTCGTTAAAAAGATCTAATAAAAAATTGAATAGGGGTAGCTAATTTCATCCTCTTATAACGATACGGAAGGATTAAAAAAATATTAATAAATATCCTTTTTACTAGTGAAAAGTGTCCACCAGATTTCATTTTCTTAACTTGTCCAAAGTTTGAAAAAAAAAAAAATTAAAACCTAATTTTCACCCCCCCCCCTTTGGAGGAGTGTAACTCCAGGGAGAAATATAAGAGTATATGTTTATATAAAAGACTCCCCTTAATTTTCGACAAGGAATCATCTCCTAAAATTTTTCGCATTTATTTAGAATCACACTATATCATACATATATCTGGTAATATACCGAATCTTTTTTAAACATGCCATGATTAAATTCATCAGACTATTGTATGTGTATGTATGTGTGTCATATATTTATTATTATTTTTTTATTATTTTTTACCGAGTGCAATCCACGTATCGCGACTATATATTTGTTCTTTCGCAAAGATCCTTCTATCTGTTGCTATATCTCTGCTGATTCATCAATGTCAATTTACTCTCTCCACTTTTTTTTGGAATCGTATTTTCTGCGAGGCAAGTACGTTCTCGGATGGACAAAAATAAAGCAGCAGCGAGCACGCTGAGCCGGTAGAAGACCGGTAGGATAATTACATTGATTGGTCATACGAGCCGGATGTGGCGGTACGCGCACGTACGTACGCCAGTTAAGCCCCGATGAAACGAGCCTTATCCGCGGCGCTACCGCCGGGACACCGGGTACATATTATTGCCCCACGTTAACAACTCGTTACGCCCGCTCCGGCGAATGAAATGTTGATTTTCCCGCGGCGGTTGTGCCCAGCGTGCGCTGGCAACGTGTCCTTACGTGATTCCCAACGATGGAGTTCATAATTCGTTTCTGGGTAGGATGATGAATTTTTTGCACGCATGTGCCCTTCCCCCTTCACGGCCCGCAACAAATCGCGCACTTCCTCGTCGAGAGATCGAGGAAGTCTTAACCCCGAGAGAAAGATTCCGCGCATTTTAATCCCGCACGTTTACGCGCGATCGTTAACTCGATATTTTGAGTGCAACGAGTTCGTCGAACATATTAATTAGGTGTGAGATTGTTAAATTGTAGGGTTCTTCCAAAACTGTTGCATGAAAATTCATGAAATCAATTTCTGCGATAGATATTTAGCGGATCCAATTTAATGCATAATAATCAAAATAGAAAAACATTAATTGATATTAATAAATAATAAATAATAAGAAATATTAATAATAATAATAAATAATAATAACAAATAATAAATAATAATAACAAATGATAAATAATAATTAAACGCAGTATTTTAAAGCACTTTACGAGAGCGATGAATCATTATTGCGATGTAAGAATAAAATAATGTTGACAAT